ACCAGGAAGATGCCAAGTATGGCCTTGTAGGGGGATGCCAGGAGAGGGCGCTGGTGAGGCAGAGCAGCAGCGACGTTGACATCCTGACCGGAACCTTCCGCAAAGTGTGCATGAACGTTGGACAGGATAGCTGATTCCGGTGCGAACATTCCGGTAGTGTGTTTGTTAACATTGGACAGGATAGCTGGTTCTGACCAGAACATTGCAGTAGTATGTTCGTGAATGACCGGTACGTTTCTGTAGAGTATGTGAACGTGAGACAGGATAAGTGATTCTAACCAGAACCTTTCTTTAGTTTTTCGTGAACGTGGGACAGGATAGCTGATTCTAACCAAAACCTTTTGGCAGTGATTCTGAGTGTCAGGCAGGATAACTGACGACCGTTGGCGACATTGGATGTTGTTTGAGTGTGCTTGTGTGGCTCAGAATTTCAGGCAGAGACAAAGACAGAGTGTATGCTGTAAGCTGGTTTGCATGTAGTAATCTTTGATCACTCGCAATAGGATAGCTGAATTACTGAGTGCCTGTCGTAAGGTTAATGATAACAGGAGTTAATAAAGACAAATTGTCTCAAATTTGTCTTTATTAACTCCTGATGATAAATTACTCTTCAGTGACTCAGAATTTCGCAATGCAAAGTTGAGGATGGATTGGGCTGCGGGATACGTGTGCACACGAGAGACAGCAGGCATTTTCGCTGCACCCTTGGATGAGAAATCGTGGCTTTTGATGAGATATTATCAACTGGCCAAGTCCGCCCATGAGAATCCCGTTGGGGTTTTCAAGTTAGGTGCCCGTCTCGAGTTTCTGTTTTTGTTATTTCCTAGTCTATTGGCAAAGTTGCTGAGCGCACGCAAGCGTAGACTCTCAGAGGTGCATGTGACTGGGCCAAAATATATGCGTATTGATCGTATCAGAGTGCACGCCGCGATCATCATGGCATTGACAAGGAGTGGAGTGGCAAGCTTGGATCATCGCGCTGGCATAATGCGTGCTACATGCAGTTAGCTAAACGTATGTGTCTCTGTTTTGAAAAGGGATTGCATGAGGTAAATACGTCAGAAGGAGATTTCGTGAAGGTATTTACAAGGATGCACGCCGAAGCATCGATAAGCCTTCATCGCACTACAGCTGTAATTGAGCATAACGATTTGGCCTGCGAGATATCGGTGAATAGCTCGCAACGTGTGCACTCCTCGATACCTGCGCAAGACTGAGGCTGACCGAGGTGACGATTTTTGACATCTGTGCACTACCGCGGTGACAAACCTATACGTTGTGTGAAACACATGCAGGCTCATACTGGCAGCCGGTGAGCTGGATGACATCTCCCTACTACCATGGTGAGAAGCCTCGAAGCGGTGTTGAACACATTCTGGCTTTTGATAAGCACCTAGTACGTGTCATAGTAGACGGCAACTCCCCACATCTCAAGAGCAGAGATTGCTAGCATAGGTACAGTGTAACGCCAAAACTACTCAGTAGCTGAGCATCTGTGAGTGCAGTGAGGATGATTAATGGATTCGTATATATACGTATGGATACGTATATATTACGTACGTATATATATCGCTGAAGGGGTCGTTGTCATATCAGGTACTACATATATGTACCCGAGGTAGGCGAGGTACATATATGTATACACAAAGTGTACCAGACTTGTACTACAGAAGTGTACCCTAACCCTAACCCTAATCATACCTCATATAAAAAATATAAACATAATACTAAACAACCTAAAACTACCTCGGGTACATATATGTAGTACCTGATACGACAACGACCCTTTGTGCGTATATATCCGTATAGATATCCATACGTATATATACGTATGGATTCGTGTGGATACCTATATACCCCTACACGTGCAGGCTTTCTTATGTACCGGACTTCTGGAAAGCAGTGTGTGTTAATCTGCATGGTTATTCGAATCAATCAGCAGTTCAAAAGATGAAAACGCATAGAACGGTGTTCATTCTCGCTTTCTCTCCCCCTCTCTCTCACTCTCACTCTCATTCTCACTCTCCCTCTCTCCCCCTCTCATAGGTATATATAATTATATATACTCTACCCCCTCCCGTCTGTCTCTCTCACTTGCTATGTGTTCAGGGTATAGCCAAGTAATCACATGCAACCATTCAGTGAATACATAATTACTATAACTGAGGGATAACCAGTAACTTGCTTCCCTCATTATTAATATTATTAGACTTTATATTGGCACAAGCCTTGTGTGAAATTACTTCGTTATTTACATATAGAAAATTTAATTATATTAAGTTATAAATGATATTCTGTGGATGAATTAAATTGATATTTTTATATGTATGATGTTTAAATGTGATTGCTGTTTGAATTCTTGTAATAAAATATATATTTATTGTTGTCAAACGTGAAAAGTCCAATTGTATAAAGTTATATAACTCACATGAAGTACATTTTGTTTACAGAGATCATATTTTATATTACTTTGAAATATGTCTACAAATACAGTTAGACTTAGCATAATAATTATCTGTTGACGTTAGATGGCTTATTGTTAGGGATACAAAATTATTCACGTATTGCAGACCATATATATATATATAAATTTGTGTGCCAAATCTGGTCACAAGTATATGTAATGTATAAACAATTTACTGTTGCGGTTTTTTTGAAGTTGCAATCATTGCACCCCAGGAAACCGTCACCGACGTCTTCATAAGAGTAGGTGGGTACTAAGATTGATGTAGTAAGTACCCGCATTCATGATTGAGTAGTATCATGTTAATATACGTCTTGTGCAAGTGTGATTATCGCGATTGTAATCCATCGTAGCGATGTCCCTCGCCACGAGAGTGCAGTTATTCGTATAACAGCCGAGTGTCTCCGTTTCAAATCTTTACCGCGTGACATTAACAATGAATAAATTCGAAAGATGAAATACTGTCTTCTGTACGTAAATGGCATTGACGCTGACAATCGATATTACGAAGAGCGTATGACGCATAGGCTCTTGGCAGTATTTGAAGGAAAATAAACTCTGTGGGAATACCATGCATTCTGCATTTGGATCCACACAGACAAATGTGATACATACTTGATTTTTTGAAAGTTGAAAGTAAAATTACAGCAATGAGTATTCTAAACGGCTGGTAATTAGCACTGCAAAATATTTACAGAAGAACAAAATATACATAACTCCATTATATATATAAAAGGCATTTTTATTCCCTTGGCAATAATTTGTATATATATAGAATACAAAAATTATATCACAAACAAGGATTTCACAGCTCACATGTAATATTATCTGATGCCTAGAATTACTAGGCTTGTTTTTTAGACATCAGCTTACATTAAATTAACAGAACATGTTGAATCAGTCAACCGATCATTTGGTGTTTGACAATGTTGAGAAAATATTGTTTTCGTGTTTACCCAATCTAACAGGGCCCCCTGTAAACTGATGGTCGAAATCCACGTAATTGAAAACAGACTAGTTTACGATCTCCATGTGGCAGGAGCAACAACTGAAACAGCCCCTCTTAATATTTGCTAGTGCTTTCACATTCACATACATGCACGCACGCACGCACGCACGCACATGACACACGACTAATGAACGTTGGGTATAACCACTCTTGTTCAATCTCATATTCTGTATTTACATGCTATGTGGCACCTGTCATTTTCTTACACATATTTGCATCCATCATGACAACACTGTGCAGCAGTGATAAATTATTGAACCAAAGTAAGAATTAGGAAAAACCATGATATCTACAAAACACATTTACACACACTTGGATGTCCATACTTAGAACAATAACATGACTGTATTTTCCCATCGTATGATAACCTGTATCATATTGTATCGTATCGTATTAACTTGTATGATTGGCAGTGCAGTTTAACGTACTACGATTTAGGTTAAATTAAGATTTACGTGTGCGTACATACAACCAGTACATTGAGACAGCAAGACAGGACGCTGCGTGCGAAACACATCACAGTGATCATTCTCAGTTGGAAACATCCAGGAAGTTGGCTCAATCAGACTGTAGGATACACCCGCAAATACATCATCATCACCATTATCCTAACACCTATTCCCTAACCCTATCCCTCACTACATGTCTAATTCTAACTCCATCATCATCATGTGCGTACAGGGGGTCCTAAAGTAGGAACAGCTTCCAGGAAGTACAAGATTTCATCGCATGTGTGACCAATTATCAAACAAAGCAATTCCCTAATTTACTCTGCAGCCACCGCGACCACGCAGCGGAGGTGGGGCGGAACTAACGTGATCCCGTGAGAACGGGTGCGAACAGAGTGCAAGAGAAACACGGCAAAAAAACAAATTGCCTTTGCATTTATTCAACGTCAGACGCTTCTTAGCACGGCTGCCCTCGCAATGCCCCTCTAGTTACGAACCGACAGCGTGGGGGCTCACAGCGATTGGCACGAGACCGACAGACGAACTATGTACACACGCAAACAACGACTCGTCACACTCACTTGTTGTATGCTAAACACACCACGTATCACAGGCCTGGCTCCTCTCACAGGGCGACCTCCAGTTGACGCACCATCTCCCCCGATGCTAGCTAGCAGGGGGACGTGATAGATGGCGGGCAGAAGCTCTGCACCGGATTACAAGAGAGCTGGTACGATGCTGGCTCACAGGGCAACCTACAGATGTCACACCAGCTACCAGTATGTCAGCTCACCTCACAACGTCACGCCAGCTGTCACTATGATGGCTGGTAGGGCAACCTCCTGATATCATGCCAGCTGTCACAATGATGGCTGGTAGGGCAACCTCCTGATATCATGCCAGCTGTCAGTACACCAGCTCTCCTCACAACGTCACGGCAGCTATCACGAGCCAGGCTGGTAGGGCGACCTCCTGTTGTACGATCGGTCGGCAGCGTAGGGCGCCGGCGTGTGCAGCGGCTCGTTGCCGACGCTCCAAAGCTTTGACTTGGGCGAGCCGTGACTCGCGCTGTGGGCCGCCCATGGGCTCGCGTACACACCTGGTGACAAGAGCAAACACCATCTCACGTTACCGACAGATTGCGTGTGAACGAGGGGAAAAATTACTTTTTTTGCACGGGAGCTCTTTTTCAAGTCTGTGGGGAAAATAGCTCTCGTCAAAAATTTTACGGGAGCTATTTTGAGCCTCACGAGAGTGATTCGCTCTTCAAATGAAATTGAAAGCGAAATCGCTCTCGTGAGACTCAAAATAGCTCCCGTAAAATTTTTGACGAGAGCTATTTTTCCCACAGACTTGAAAAAGAGCGCCCGTGCAAAAAAAGTTATTTTTCTTTCAATTTTGGTTGAAGAGCTCACCGCTCATCGCTCCCGTGTATTTTTTACCCTAGTGTGAACGAGCTAGGTGACGGGGCCGGGCTCGCGAGGAGATGAGAATGAACAACAACTATATTGTAATCACAGCATCACAATACTGATACACATGCTAATGGCAATGCCATGAACATTGTATGTACATATTATACAGTATTATGTAGTGGATACTACGTGTGTATACATGTACGTAGTATGTATTATACACAATAGAGATAATATACAGTAGAACATAGTATACATATGATCACCCTTCTACAAAGACTGATGCAGATGTATTAGCATGTAAGTACGTAGGAAATTAATTAAGATTCGGCTTTTAAAATAAGGCTTTTATGGAAGATTTACTGTGCAGGGATAGCGCATTACCTGGAGTCGGGTAGATTCCGTCTCCCGCCCCGTTCACGGGCGTGCCACGCGGGCTGAAGTGCTGCATCGGTGCAGCATAGTAACGCGGCGCAGATAAGCTCCTGTAGCCTGCAAACACGACAACAACAACAACGATGCGCGAGTCAGAACTCGTCAGCAGTAATAATCACTACTTGCGACGACGTGATCCGAGTTTCAATCAGTTTGATGTATTAGCACATAATGAATGGGTAAATCACTCACAATGAGGCAAAAGTACAAGCGGAATTAGATAACAGACGGATTAATCGCATGTGCGTTGGCCCAGGCTGGCTGTGCAACAATTTATCTTGCTGACACATGATTACCGTATTTACTCGTGTATAAGTCGCACCCCGTATTTTGCCTTGAAAAGTTGGTACAAACATTGGTACATTAGCAAGCTTTCTTAGCCTCGTGTATAAGTCGCACCTCTGATTTTTTATATTGAAGTTGTGTACAAAAAAGTGCGACTTATACACGAGTAAATACGATACATCTTACTCTATTCGTGAGAAAGGCTGTGTACCTATGTACAGGGCTGCGACGGTGATTATTGTGATGAGAATCGATGATATCCACGTAAAGTAATTGTTAGCTATGCTCTCTATCAACCAGGCCCAGCCGACCTGATGACTGATGGGTGGACATACTCCTGGAAAAATCACACGCCGAATGCTATATTACACAGTGTACATACACGTGTAATAACCATTTGCTCCTAGTATTAGCAGTCATACATGGGTGATACATTAGAACCATCACGAAAGACCCAACACTATGTGGGATACATATAGTATTATATTATATATATTATAAGTATATTATACTGACATAAACCAATAAATAAATGTATAATATATGTATATATATATATATATATACATATACATATATTATTAATTTATTTATTGGTTTACATCAGTTTTCTATTCAATAAACAACAATGATATCTCAGAAGACAGTATAAGTAGCAGGATAACCAACAGACACGGGTATATATGCGCTCACCTTCCCCCGGCTTGCTGCCGATCAACTTGACCTTGACGGCGACCTGCTCCTGCTGACCTGTCACGAGTGACGCCACAAGCACCTGCACGTCAGCGCCTCCTAGGTGCCACAGCATCGGTGACTCGACGAGTCGCAGTGGGAACGAGCTGCTGTGCTGCGCCTTTGCGTCCTGCACAGGTGGCAGCACCTCCACGATCGAGCTGTCACTCGACACCACCTATGGGGGAGAGCACGTGAACGTTAGTGGTATGCGGTGAACCTCTGTACCATTACAGGCAATCGATGGAAAGATGGCTTGGCGGGGGATTATTGGTCTACTATTCACGTTACGAAGTCAATCGACCGTACCAGTTGAGCTGAAAAGGCATATTTTCTATGTGCACCACATGATATGTATATCAACAAATACGACTTTATAAATGCAAAATGTATACAATACAAACACAGTTGCAGCTTTCACACGCCAACCCCAATATACCGGAAAGTAAGCACTACTGTTCTTTTACATGCCAACCCTTGCCAGACAAGGCTAACTCGTCACAGCCCTCTCACGGATACATAGGACACAAGAATAAATAAAAAAAGCCGAGTGTCGCTATAGATCTTTGGCAAAAATTTTTGGCAGCAATTGGATGACACATCTTTAGGTCACGACTTCGGGGTAAAAAATCTGCCAAGTTAAATACCACGACACACAGTGGGCTGTGTCATAAACAGGTTTGACTATCATATAGGACTTCTGCATAGCACTTCATGAGAAAAATTCACGATGCTGAGACTTCTGATGTCATAATTACTCAGTATCTTTCCGACAATGGGCGCCTGGTCTATTGGCAACATTAATTAATTAGAATAATATTCGCTCTGCCCCACGCAAAGCTGACACACATGGACAACATGAAACATCTGTCGTCGACATTGTTTTATACGAGCAGGAGCAAACAATCATGAAGAGAACAAACCTAAAAGCAACATCAGCCCCGCCCCTACCCCCGCACTCGCTCACCGTGATGCTATCCATGACAGCATCGCTGGCGCTGATGCTGAACGCGGCGGTGGGCAGCAGGTCGCTGACGTGCAGCTCCGCCCCTCCCTCGTCCCCACTCCGCCCCCGCTCTCTCTCTCTTGCTCACCGTGATGCTATCCATGACGGCATCGCTGGCGCTGATGCTGAACGCGGCGGTGGGCAGCAGGTCGCTGACGTGCAGCTCCGCCGTCGACACGTGGAACGCGGGCCGCAGCGGCAGCGCCCCGAGCGTCTGCCTCAGCTCGGCCTGTCCCTCGCGCGCGCGCACCACCGCCCACAGCTCCACGCCCGTCTCCAGCGCGCTGGCCGCACGCGCGACGTGCTCCCCGCTCGACTTCTGCATCACGACGCACTGGTAGCGACCTGCAACGCGGTGTGATTGGGTCAAACCGTCTTCGACGTCAGGGTGTGCCTCACAAAAACGCAAAACGTATCGATTCTTGGTACAATTGTTGTTGTTTTTAATTTAACTTAATTTGAAAAAGTTTGTTGGGAAAAAAAACACGCCTCAACGTTTGCAAGATGTGACGGCAGGTGCTGATGCGAGACACTTGAAATACGCTGTCATGATTGTGACCGAGAGATGATGACGGGGAAGATATTAGAGATCGTTTTAGACTATGAAAGTGACAAGCACGATGGAAAAACTCTCAATACAGGTACAGCGCATGTACAGATAAGTGCAAAATACGTTAAGCATCCACACCTAGCTTAGGGTCGAAGGCTGGCTCGGCTGTGAAGAGTTCGTGAATTGTGATATCAGGCGTGTGCGATGTGAAGTAAAGATCACAGCGGTAAGGAAACGTCACTGGAAGCTCGGTTAGGTGACTGCAGTTTCCACCTGCGTAATGACAAAAGTAAACATGACGATATGCGGTGTGCAACAGCGTAGAAATTAACACAAAACACTGTTCTTGAATCCATAAAATTGAGTACTGTGGTTAAAACACAAAATTTAAACTTCCCTAAAACATGTGCACACACACACACACATGCACACAGACAAACACACACAGACATTTTGATATATTTTAGCAGTAACAATAATGATAATAACAATAGGCCTAATAATTACAATAACATTTGGATGCAAAAAACAAATCATTGCTCATCGAAACAGGCAGACCGTCGACTGCACGCAACATACGCAGAAACGACACGATCGTATTACCTAGCAGATTGCTTGCTCTCTCGTTCGTCAAATCCCCGCTCAGCAGTAACGGTATGACAACGCCCCGCTTGCGTGGCACGTTACTGATGAAGTCGTGGCTATGCGGCAAGGGCTTCACCTCCGTGACGGGCGCCACCGACACCTGCGTGTTAACACGTCAATCATTAGTGCCGACAACGTCGTCTAGCGTCTGACGATCTGCAGACGTTTGACGCGATAAATGCTCGTGGCAGAAACAAATTATTGTGATCTGTGATCATTTTCCCAGGATTCCATCTGCACTGTGATTCCCGATCATTCTCGTTCCTAGGCAGAACAGGCAACCAACCTACACGTCAGAGATTTAACATGCGTGAACAACACCGATCGTTTTAACGACAGGTGACGTCTGCGTGCCGAGGTGAGGGGCATCGATGGACACGATGAGACAATCATTGCACCGCGGCCGCCGTTACCTCAGCCTGGGTCACGAAGCTGCTGCCTATGCTGTAGGTGACCTGCGCCGTACCGACGGTCGTCGCCATGGCAACCCCAGAATGCCGATCGATGGACATCACGCTTCCTTCCGCAGACCACTGCCCGCGGTGACCTGTAGATTTAATAATCATATGGCATTCGCATTTCATGCTAATCTGTCTATATGAAAAAAAAAATATCGTCTAAGAATACTATCTAACATCTATAATACAAAATATAACACACATATAAAAGATATTTCCAGCCCATAGTAACCATTAGAAAAAGATGCGCAAAGGTCAGTTTCAGTTATGGTACAGCAGTATTTGCACGGCTTCAAAACGAATACAGTCCAGACTACTACTGACACACGTAAATACTAAAATATAAAACACTGCATCCTGTTTGCAAAAGCTCCAACGCTTCTCATATACACACAGATCCACTTGAGCCCTACCAGGTCGCCGTGGGACCACACTGTGGGGGCTCTACTCGTTTTCACACCCCACTCAGGCAGTAGCAAACGCGAAAATACGCACCCTCCTCGGACAAGATCGGCGACGCGAAACAGACGACCTCGCCCAAGGTCAGCGCTACGTAGGCGGGCTCGATCGCGCGGCCGACGAGCACCGAGATGTAGTCGGCCTTGCGCGGGCTGTTGCTGTCCCACACCTTCAGCACAGTCTGCCCCGTGCGTGTGGCGCGTGCCACCAGCGTGCCGTTCTGCGCTCCACGCGACACCTGCAGCAGGTCGAACCTGGAAGGCAGCGACGAGGTTGCATGAAAAGATCTAGTGACGTGAAATTAATTCGTTTCTGAAATGTGATTTTTATTAGATTTTCGATTGAAACATTTGCAATTATAGCATAGGGATAAAAAAAATATGATGAGCTGCAGTGGTGTTCAGTTCAACTGAGTTTGATGAGCCATGCTCGTTAGCCTCCCCGTTGACAGTATAGTCGGAAACTTCATGATTGAGTTTTACTCAGTTATAACACTTGCTGAGGAATGCTGTTTAGCACCAGGAATAATGCAATTCTTTTGAATGACCACTAACGAGCATCAAATAATTAAAAATAAATAGCTTTGTTGATTGTTTCAAGTCTACTCTGCGTGACTTATTAAATGGTGATCACTATAGTTGTACAAATATTTTCTTGGCAATAATTTATCATGATAATAGATTAAATCTTAACGATTCATTAATCACCGATCAGCTGATCATGTTAGTCATACTAATGTGATCTTGTCTGATATGATATAATATATAATTTATAATAAAGTAATAACCCTGTATATTTGTTGAATTCATAGTATTTATGAATTTATATATAATCCAGAATAATTTAAATGATATAAGTTCTATACCAATTTTATATATCATCAAGGTGTGGATAATATATTTTAGTATAAACTTCATTAAATTCATATTAAATACATGATTCCATGGCAATTCAGTTAGCTATAATTGACACTTTAAGACATAATTACAAATAGAGTAGTCATACCTGCTAGGTCTATAGTGAAGGTCAACATTTGTTGTGTGAAACTTCTCTCCTATGTTGTCATGGAAACTGACGACAAACTCCAGCTTCATGCCGATGGGTACTGAAGCCAGCTTGTGTTTGCTTGTGTGTATTAGAGATATGGTGTTCAGCATGAGGTAGGACACTTCTTTCACCTGAAAAACACGACAATGTGTGGGTGAACTATACTCGAGTTGGTTTGCTTAGTCTGCCCTCCATCTGCTCCCTCTCCACTCTCTCTCACTCTCCCCTTCTCCCTCCCAACACCACTCTCTCTCTCTTTCTCTCTCTCCCCTTCTCCCTCCCAACACCACTCTCTCGCCATCTATCGCTCCTGCCCAATTCTCGGCCTTGTCGATGTAGCTATGGGAACACCAACACCCAGTATACGAGTTAAAGCAGCTCCTAATATTACTGTATTGCAGACACGCGAGAGGGAAGCGGCAGAACACATCGAACAGCAACGAGGCACAGCCTGACTGTCGCTGAAGCTCGTGTACGAACGTCGACGGGCGGACAGACCTTGACGAGGATGACGAGCGTTTGGTTGATGCCGAAGTCTTCGCGCGCTGTCACGAGTACAGACGCCTCGCCCACGCTCGACCCCGACACGATCCTGCCGGGCTGGTCCACCGATATCACGCCGTGCTTGCCTCGCTCCAATGACTGGGAGATGACCTGGTACGTAACGTCCGCCGAACCATCCCTTGTAAGGCACAAACAAAACCACTAATAAAAACATGGGTAAACACATATACAGATATAAATACATATACCACAGATATAGCTACCACAGGCCACCACAAATTTCAACCATAGTTACCATAGGCATGGGTCGAAATCATAAGGGGCCCCCGGGCCCGATGCCCGTATTTTAAGGCTTGGGTCTGACATTTCTAATACTAGCAAGCCCGACGGGCCCGTAGAAAATCCACCCCAGCATGCAAAAACATCTGGGAAATGTTGCGGGCCTATAATTTGCCTGACGGGCCTGTAAAATCCCTTACCTACAGGCCCGGCTGACCTGTAAATTTTCAAACCAATTTCTACCTCTGATAGGGTTACAAGTATACATTTATCCATTTAATGTCCCATTCAAATGTAAATGCTTGGTTGCTTACGACAGGTGATCAATATTGGTTGGTACATATAATATAATATAAAATTTAATATAATAATAAACACTAGTGTAAAAGCAACACAAGTGCGCATACTCAATTTACATTCTTTGTATGAGGTTTAGTATACGATCCCATTCGCACACGCAGTGAACATTGATGCTGCAAACCAATATTAAATAAACTACCTATTCGTTCCTAGATCCGCTTCAGTATCAGTTGTAATGATCATCTGTCCATCGCAGAGATTAGGCCGTGACACCTGCAACTTCTCAAACACCTGAAATTATGTAACAGAATTAAATTAGGACTGGTCCTAATATTTTGTTTCGTAGTCCTAATATTTTGTTTCGTAGTCCTAATATTTTGTTTCGTAGTCCTAATATTTTGTTCTCAACCAGTGTTGCAAAAATTCCAAACATTAACTCAATCCTACAAATGAGTTGTTTCTAATACCATACATTTCCTGAAGATTTTATTCTGACAATCGTTTTTGACAATTCTCCACTCGCCCCTAGTTTCTTATATCCTAGCAAAGTTGTTCCTAGTTGATACAGTACCAGGTTTTGTCTAACTTTAGGTTTATTCTAGTAATGCTCCCCCAGCATGTTCGACATATCTTTACAAAGTTGTTCCTAATATCATACTGTTTAATTTTTTTCTGCATTTTAAGATCATTCTAATAATTCTGCATCCACCCCAGTTACTCCCCAACTATTACCTAACGTTAACAATTACTCCCTCCCTCTCTCTCGCCCTTACTACCTCTCTCTCTCCCTCCCTCCCTCCCTCCCTCTCTCTCTCCCTTCCTCCCTCTCTCTCTCCCTTCCTCCCTCTCTCTCTCCCTCCCTCCCTTCCTCTCTCCCCTCGACGCTCACCTGTATTTGCACGTCGTCGGTGAGCGGACGGTTGTCGAGCAGCTGATAGCGTGCGTGTGCGTCTGGCACGACCCGCAGCCGCAGCGTCACCATGCCCTGCTGCCGCGCGTGCAGCCGCATCGCAAAGTTACCCTCGTCTGGCAAGCTGATGCCGCTCTGCAGCGAGAAACAGACGACATTGATGTGGTTAGTGATGCTCGCAGCAACAGACGACATTATCACAGTTCGTAATAGTCAGGAGGTCAGACGACATTGTTGCAGTCAGTGATTGTCTGAGCGTTAAACATTGTGGGGGTTAGAAATGGTCAGAATGGCACAAAGCTATCTACGGCTCCATTACCATTCTCTCCAAACAATTGTCCACAATTACGTATACACCAATATAATGACACAAATATACAATATAATAACGCAAGTATATAATTACACGATTAACACACAGTCTTTCCAACAAATCATTAGCATTTACCATTTTACAATCATTCATAAATTGCAATACGTTCGCAACTATTATACAAAAAAAGAACACTAGCTGCACAAATGTACACCGACAGGCCCGCACACAAACACACACACACAACACAT